GACTCAGTAGCCAATTTGTCGCTATAAGGGGGTTAGTTTTATATTTGTATTTTTTAATAAGATTAAATGTTGTTATTCTTATCATGTCTCCCTTGAGTAGTTTTAAATGCAGACTATCCAAAAATACAGAAAATGGGTATTTAAAAAGCCATCTCACAATAAAAGAAAAATATTTCGGTCAGTGCGCCCCAGGGTGGCTGTGGCTACAATGTTGCCATCACCAGTGTGTGAATGTGTGTGTGAATGTGTGGATGACTGGATGTGCAAAGCGCTTTGGGGTCCTTAGGGACTAGTAAAAGCGCTATACAAATACAGGCCATTCACCATTTCTTTCTTTCCTTCAAACAGTCCACCTCCCTATGTGTTCCCTTTAAATCTTGTTGCCTTTATTTTCCCTGCTGAAGAAGCTGCTTCTTCCACTGTACACATCATAGGCGCCTCTCTTGCTATGTCATGCCAACAGGTTTTATTTATAGACACTCCCTTTTTTCTGTCTCCAGCCTGTCTGTCTATCTGTGCATCTATCTATCTGTAACTTGTACAAGAAAATCACTGTGCGTTACTTTGAAACACACACACATGCACTGTGATGTTTCTTTGTTTTCTGTTTAAGGAAACAAAACGTTTGCTCCTATTTGTCAATAACAGTAAGTTGTGATTTTTGCATTTTTAAATGATGAACAAAATGAGACTAACATCGACTAACAAGAAGTCAATGAGTCAGTATGTTTCAAAATAGAACAACAGCAACAGTCACAGTGAGTGCTGGGAATTAGTTTATGCGTTTTCTTTTTGGTGTTTCCGGTTTTACTTGTCTCTCAAGTGCCGATAAACAAGACAGCTGTTGCAGTTGTTAGGATCTTGTATACAATTTCAATAGCAGTTCACTTTATTATTGTAATTTTTTAACAAAAATAAAAGCACAGCCATTTTAATAGTAACAAAAAAAGTTACTATACAAAAAAGTCAGTTAACCTTTTGGAACCGAGACTTAAAGCTGCTGTTTTTTAATAGTTCTTGCATGATGGGCATTTGCATTTGATGAGTCAATCACATTTTAGCTTGGAGCATGTTCTCACTAAAATGCTATTCTCCTGAATCTGACTAAAGTCTGCACCCTCAGTATTCATCTGTTGTCTTTTTGCTTTCTCTACTAAATTTAAATGCTGTACAAAATGTACAAAAAAAGCAAGCAAAGCCTTTTTCTTGGACATCATACAAGGAAAAACAACAACGACTGCTCTCTATTATTGTACTATAAAAAGAAACTTACCCAGAATGAAAAGCATATGAGATGTAAAGTTATTCAGTCCCCTTCTATTATCTGCATGTTTTCCAAAGTGTTACTGACTCACACCTTATGTGACAACCCCCATTTGTTAGATTTCTTAAAGTTGATGAGATGGCTCAACAGGTTTGTACTGAGGTGTTGAAACACCATACTGGTAGCCAAATAATAACAAGCATCGCTTGGAAGTCTTTCAGTTTGCTTGGTCTTGTTGAATGTCCCTATTCTTTGATCATTGGGCTAAAGGAAAAACAACACTTGGTGTTTAATGCTCAATCAACAATCTCTTTATTCAATAGACACTTTGAGCATTACAAACTTCCGGACGGGACATGTGCACGGGAGGGTATCCGGCAAATCTCGAAGTGTCTGACCATTTCTCCAAAGTCATAAAACCTAAACATCCACATTCTTTCGCTCTCTCAGTGTTAGAGAATGTTTTATATCAGGAATGGGATATAAAACAGTGTTATATCCCATTCCTGTTTTTCTTCTCGGAATAAACAATCAATTACAATCAAACAGTCAATCTGCTGGTCCCTCTCTAGTCTAAACAACAGTGTTTTCAGTAACTTTCCACTAGAAGATGGTCCCCTGTTATCTACTTTCTCCCAGGCAAGCGTAAGCAAAAGTCTACAGCATTCTACCCCCCGAGGACATGTAGTCTAATGCCCTTATTTTTCAGGGCCGTGTCCTATTTATTTGTATCCTTGGGCTTTGTCATAGATTCAGATAAAGAAATGGTGACAAATGAGCTGTTTTTGCAGTGCAAGTACAAGTCGTCTGGTATGTGTAGAAGCCGTTTTTTTAATGCACCAATGACTCAAAAGTCAAGTGTCTGTCAGTGTTCAACGAAAAACTCTGGAAGACATCTAGAATCCCTGGAATACTATTTCTCAAGACTATTAAATAAAAAAAAAATTGCTACAAAGTCTGGCTCTATGAAGAAATAAAGGGCGGCTCCAGACTTTTGCACAAAGTTATATGGGATTCTTTCGAGTGACTGCATATTAACATGAGTAATATACGAGTGTAAAATCATTTATGTGTAGAGCTGGGATCACGTGTTGCAGTAAGCTCATCTCAACACAGTATTGTGCTTAGTGATCCATTTTCTACTTCATAGTTTCTACACAAAGCCTGCCAGTTGTATAATATCTGAATCAGTTTAAATATCCTATTTCTCTTCACAGACAGTGGAGCAGATTATACCGTAATTTTGAGATTGTGTTTGTCTGACTTATCAGCAGATCATTCTTAAGTATCTTAAAGCACTGAAACGTTTCATGATATAATTTGGCTGAATTTTACATCAGACATTAATTAACTAATAAATAATTAAGCCTCACTTGTTCTCAGTATGCACAACTTTTATTTGAAGTGTTGCGTCAATGTCTGTGTTGTTTTCTGCTTTGTACTTCCCCACATATCATCTGCCAGTCAAACAGGATTAGTGATCCTGTCGCTTCAGGGGAGATTAGGCTTGCTGCATACTTTTAAACCTGCATAACAACAATTCTGCTAAACCAAAAGAAAAGGCACATACAAACAACTTAACGAACAAAAGTGCAGCTTACGTGCTTCTTCAAATTATACTCAAGGCGGTTTTGAGCGTTCATCTGTTAAAGGTCATCATAATACATAGCACAAATAATTTTCATTCTTCACATGTGAAGCAGTCATTACCATAGTGAAATGCTGTTTGGAATTTGAGATTAAAATATGCATGGCACACATTGCACAATGCACTAGCAATGGTGGTGTTGTTTTTTTGTTTTTGTTTTTTTATTTAAAGTGCTTTATTGTTTGTTTTTTGGATCTGAGGAACAATCTGTGTAGTAGTCTAATGAAAAAAGCTGCTGCTTTGCCATTTTTTTCTTTGAAAAGAGTGGTTTTAGTTATGTTAAGACATAGATGCATATAAAAAAAATCATCAGCCTATTGG